ATATATATAAGAGAAATCAGTGCACAAAAAATTAAGTCAAGTAATAAAATAAATTTATTTAAACGAAGAGCATAATACTACATGTTTTGCTCACTTTTGACTCATCTTCAAAGTTTAAGTAATATTGAATTATGTGAAATAAATTGTATAAAAATTATAGTTAATGTGCTATCACGTTCAATGCGATCATTCAGAGAACTTTCTTCATCGCAAAATCATTTGCGAATGAAATTAGAAAACTTCTAGTATTATATCATTAATCACTACTTGTATATTTTTCCATTATTATTATGCCCTACTATTTTATTATAATTATTAAATTTATGGGCAATGTTTTTCTTATTATATGTAAGTATATAGAGTATATCAGTTAAATATATCGAGTTGAATATATCAGTTGAATATATCAGTTAAATATATCACATTTTATATACCGAGAAAAATTGTTTATATTACAAAGAGATGTAATTCTCGAGCGATATCGATTCACTACAGAAATAAAAATAGAAAATAAGATTGACGTTACTTTCTAGCTTTTTATGGAAACCAAATTGATTTTTGACAATTGCGATATAAAAACTTAATAATGATAATTAAGAACTAGTACTATCTCCATGTCGATGCATCTTCCTCATAAATAGAATGCTAAGAATCTCGAATTATAATTCAAATTAATATGTAAAATTTGATTTCTTTAAACAATGTATTTTTACGCAATCTAATTCGCCTTGTGGCGAACTATTAATAAAACTATAACAGTCAAAACTATACGTTATTTTCGTTGATTTCGCTATCGATTTCGTTGAATCTTTATCGGCGATATTCGCGCATCGTTTAGTTCTAACAGGCAGCAGTATAACAGGTACCGTAATCTACAGTGTAATATCCCATGGCCCACACTCATAAAGCGCGGTCACGATTTCTCGGCTGTTTTGTTTCCTCATGTACAATTCGCGTAAGGACTGGTGCAATGACTTACGTTAATATGTATGAACCAGCCAGGGGATATTTCTGCTGGCGTAAACGCGGATAATGTGCCTCTATCGCTACCGCCTATACTACTCCGGATCCCGCGGTTTACAACCCCCCTTTCTTGTAATCCCACTACGGGCTTAACGTGGCGAAAATGCACGCTAAATCGCGTTTGGTACCGAAACAATGAGCAAGAAAGTACGATTGCGCAAAAGCCCGTAAAGTTCAAATAGCGTTTCTGAATATTCGCAAATAATATTCTGGCGCAAATAAGCCAGTCTAATAATGTGATATTTATCGAGATTGTGCGTAATCTGTTTCTAAACACAAAATCGATATGTAACCTACACGATATATTGCGCGTTAAAGCGAAATTATATATGCATGTAAAATAGTTTATTTGATTTATTATTTTGTGCATTTGTTATCCGTATTTATCGACAGAAAATTCGAAATTTATGTATTCAGTAATACGATTAAATATTGCGCCAAAATAATTCAATTATATATACCCTCTTGTTGACATATCTATTAAGTGGTTCACGTCCAAAACAAGTTGTTTATTATAAAGTATATCTGTATATCATTTATTATTTAATAATTAATATAAATATAATGTTATTATAAATATGTTCTTTCGACGATTAGTGTCTCTTCGTTATACAGTCTGACACAAGAAATATTTGATGCATCAAATCGATATATCTTGGTAACTTTCATGAGAGTTCCATCAAAGTTACGATCCGGTAAGAGGAAAATCATGCCCGTAGCCTATATTCAGAAAGTACGTCTATCCGCGTATATTGTTATGCATCGAGGTTGATGTTGAAATCTACCGATAAGCTCCTCTGTCACCCCCTGTGCGTTCACTCTATGTGTTCTTTATTATATCTCGATTATATCTCGATTATATTCTATCTTTTTTCTCGATGAATGCGTATATCGGCAAGATTTTCGTTAACGATATTCTTTACAAAAGACAGAATAATTTTAATTCCTTACGATGTAACAAACACATTTTAATATTTTTATATAAAATTCATTTTTACGTAAAAATGAAAATAAGAGGCACAACCTCCAATGGCTTTGATCTTGATAAATGTTAGAGACATGATCCTGAACAACAATTCAAGAGGGTTTAGCCATCGGACACTTACTTGCATAATGCTAATGCCGATGGTATTGCAACTTTCGAGTCTTATAACTCGAAAAGTACTCAATGAAAAATAACTTTATTATAATGTTTTGAAAAACTCTCAACATTATTATTAGATACTGGAATAAAATATAGATACTGAAATAAAAAGTTGGATGTTCCATTTAAAAAAATCGTGCCTTGATCTGATCTTGACGACGCTACCTTAAATCAAATTGATAAAATCAGTAAATAGATTTTTTTAAACCCTACAACTTTTATCTGAACACTTTTAGGATTGGATCTTATCCTGCGAAAATAAAAAGGATATACGGGTGATTTGAAACACCCGATATATGTACTTGCATACCATATTTATTGTAATATTTTTCGCAATAAATTTATTTACAGTTTTTAGCATATTAACGTATTTTTAATAGGATGCCTGATTGAGCATCAAATTATTAAAATTGTTTGTCAATTTAATTCGTGATATTACTGCAGTAGTTTAATTGCGTTTATAAGTCCGGAAAACCAATTCGATGCGCAGTTCGAACGACTATAAATATGGTATATATATATATATAAATACATTTTTATACAGTATACATAGTAATTCAGATTGAATTATTTATAAGCATTAAAGATCTAGCTTTGATATTTACGACATTATTTCTATTTCTTATTGTTGAATTTTTAAGAAAAATTTAAAAATTTTTATTTTTTATTTTTATTTTAAAACTTCATAACACAATCATGCAATTAATAATAATCACTTATTATACTTACTTAGATCAAATGTATACAAATTTCTGCGAAATCAGATGCGAATTAGATAAAATAAAAGACCAGCGAGATGTACCGGCGTGAATCGTACTGCTTCTCTCCAAACACGTTGAATACGATTCTCGATATATCATACCGCGTTTATAAAGAGGCTTACAACACTGATACATATCTAAAGCAACACTTCAGATTCGATCATTACATAGTGGAAGGAGAAATAGCTGCAGGTTTTAATTCACGACGGCAGTATTTTGTTGCAAGTACATGTTTTGTGCCTCCATCAACCGGAACCTTTCGCTATTCCCCGATTTCTAATTCTCTCTCTTAATTTTTATAATCTAATCAGTCTGGCTATTTCAATAGATAATGATGTCAACATATCACATTTATCTTAGATAACAAAATTATTAATTACATAATAATTAACATCCGGAGAAATCTTCATCGAATCAAATATATAATTTTATACTATGAATCAATTGTATTATATGTATATTTGACTATATGTACATATTGATGATGACTTAGATTGTGGTCGGAATGTTTATGAATTTAATTTAACGAATTCAAATAGAATGCTTTTTGCCTTTTATTTTTGTTTATAAAGCTTACCATTACTTC